CTCTCCCAAAGAAGAGTCGGAAGCAGGGAAGGAAAGTGAAAAGGGAAAGGTTTGGCTTTTCTTCCCTTCTCTCTCCTTCCCTATACTGACAACTAAGAGACTTAAATAAGAAATCGGAAAAATCTGCTTTGACATCAATAGGCAATTAAGCTGAAAATAAAACAAAATGCCAAAGTGATAATAAAGATTTCTGGACATTAAAATTTTTCTTTTTCATAAGCAGGAAGGGAGAGAAAAAGAATAAGGGCAGGATCTGGAAGAGGGAGGAGACTGCCTGGAATTAAAAAGAATCTACAGTAAAACTTCAACAAGACTTCTAAAAGATACATTTTAACTGAAACTTTGCAACTAAATAGTAACCCCAGGAAGAGAAAGTGAAAAAAAGAGCAAAAAAGAAACAGCTTGCGTGTATTTGGATTATTTGGTGATCTTTGGATTCTTGGTTATTATATTTGAATGACTAAAATCAATCGGGTGGTTATTTAAAAATTTATACAATGGCACCACTTCTGGATGAATTGAAAATGGAACTTAAAAAGTACAAAGAAGATGCACAAGAAGGGAAGGGTTCTTTTGGCTTCGTTTTTCAATTCTTAGAAATGGAGATTTGGAACTATGAGAAACAAGAAAAGACTGCAAAACAAGAAGACTGGGACAAAGAAGAAGCCATCTTTAATGAACAAGCAATTTTATGTGGGGAAGAAAAAGGAAAGGGGGGAAAGAGAATGGAGAATTTAAGACTTAAAAAAACAACCAAAGAAAAGAAAAATAATTCGAAAAATAAGTATAATACTGGAAAGCAACAGAAAGGGGGAATACAGAAGAGAGAAATAGAGGTAGAGAGACAAGGGGGTAAAAAGGGGAGAGAGAAGAAGAGAGGGAAGAAAGAAAGGAAAAGAAGTTACAAAGGACCGGAGCAAGATATAGAGAAACAGGACCTATTTAGAGATAATGGGTGAAAATCTAACTGAAAAAGGGATTCTGTAAAGGTACATAAGATTGTATTGTTATATTAGTAATAGAAATAACTTTAGAAAATTGGAAACAAAATATGATTAAAATGAGGGATAAAATAGTTAGTGTAATTTAGTGAAATGTTTGTGAATAAAATAAGTGAAATAAAATAAATGAGAAAATTGAATTAGGAAGGAACAGGAACATTTTAATTAGTTAATGTTTTATAAAATATAAGTGAAGAGGGGGGGAATTAACTATGGAAAGCTTATAATTGTTCCCATAGAAGTATGATATTTAATTGAAAAGTAATGTTAAAGATGTTAAGACTTTAATGAATATTAATATTAATGATAGAATTGAATTGGAATGGAATGTTGTTTTAATTATATTATACATTTATAATTTTTTCTTTTTTTAAGAATACAGTGTGTATTTTAAGAATGTACCAAGCAGAATCCGAATGGAAGCTATGTATTATATTGAATGTTACAACTTTAGGGAAAAGATATAAAGGCATCATACTCCAATCAGTAACTACAGGAGAAATTTTGTTTAATGAGTAAAGGTAATAGATAATTCAAACAGGACAAACAAAAAATATAAATACAATGATCTGAATTGAGATGAGATAATTAAAATAAAATTGAGAAAATAAAAGAGGGGAGAAGCTATGCAAAAAATGTAAAATAGTAATAAGATATGGAATAGAATATAAAAATGAGCATGGACCTGAATTTGTGTCTGTACGAAGAAATGTAACCCGGGATTACGCTAATTTCAAAAAAGATGTTTTATTTGTATTTTTTTTTCTCTTTGTGAAAACTCAAATAAAATTTACCAAAAAAAAGGTAGATAACCTCTTCATCCTGGGAACACTGGGTTTTGAGAACAGCTAATCAATGCAGTCACCAGCTGGCCTCCACTGGAAACTCTCTATTCATAAAGTGGCCTTTATGGAGGACATAGTTAGTGTCCATACAAAGTTGCCTACATAGTATTTCATGGAAAAACATGAGTGGAACAAGCAGGATAAAAAAATGCTAGAACAAATGTCACAACATGGAAGAAGAAAATAGCAATAATATATGAAAAAAAATGAAAAAAATGAACACCAATAAAGACAATGTAGCAAGATATCAATATTTTGATTATACTACTGTACAAAGTAAAAGTTTTTTTTTTAAAAAAAGACTAATTAAAATGTGTATGTATGTATGTATGTATGTATGTGTGTGTGTATGTGTGTATGTATCAGAGGTAGTATTCAGCAGGTTCTGACCAGTTCTGAGAACGGGTAGCGGAAATTTTGAGTAGTTCCGAGAACCAGCAAATACCACCTCTGACTGGAGATCCTTCCCCTTCCACCCCCACCAAGCTATGCCCACAGAACTGGTAGTAAGATAATTTGAATCCCACCACTGGTATGTGTTGTGCCTCTGGGTTTGGATTCTGCTCCTGTGGCAGATATGAGTTCAAGTGAGGAAGACATGGCAGAGAAATATGAACCGGCATTGCTGAGTGATTGGAATAGTAACCAGGATGAGGAGATGGAGGTAACAAGGGATGACAGACCTGAAATATTAGAGTGGTCAGAACCTTCGACCTCCTCTGGTGCTTTATCTAATCAGCAGCCGGGAATGGATGACAGGGAAGGAAGGAGGGGGTTTTCCAGCGGAGATGAGAATCTGGAAAACTTATGGTTAGACGTTAGGAACAGGAGACGACTAAGGAGACAAACCCAGTTAGAAAGAAAGAGAAGAGCGTGCCAATAATTAGGGTAATTAGCACGTGGCTTAAGTATAAAAGGACACAGCTGGGCTGGTGGAATTCGCCAGAAGCAAAGTGACTTATTGAGTGAGGACGTTACAGCAAGAAGCTCTGAGGCTTGAGATTTATTGCCAAGACTGGTTTGCCGGACAGAGTAAAGATTTATGCTGTGGATTGGGATTTCTGCCAGCTGTGAGACTTTATGTTTGAATTACTTCTGAAATGGCTGCTTTCTGTTTTGCTCGCTTGAATTTGAAGGGGAGTCATAACAGGTATGTATGTATGTATTCAGAGTATCCTAAGGAGATCTATCGTTAACATTTCAACACTTTCCATGCCCATCATGCATCATTTTTACTTTTAAAAGAAAGGGCCTATTTTGAGCCTTGAGGCATTGCTAGAATTAAAAATGACGTTGGTCCCTGGCACCTTATTTTGCCAGTATGTCAGCTTCCTATTTTTAAAATTATCACTAATATCAAAAGTCAGATGAGGTCAGAATCTGGTGCTTGCCAAGGAAAGACTCTGCTGGTGTAATGTGCCCCAAAGGAGCATGTGAGAGACTTCTGGTTTAAAGAATCAATCTTGAAGTACATTAATTGGCTCCGATAAGCTCCAGCATCTGAATATTTGACACTGGAACTTAGTTCCATAGCTCAGGAAATACTTTTGCACTGAGCCTTTGGAAATATCAAGCGGGTGCCTTCCTATCTTTTGTTTGAACTTCTTATTTCCCCCAAACATAAACTCATTCAGACACCTGCAATTTAAAACTCTAATAAAAGAAGGAAAATGAGTTCAGCACCGTGTGTGTGTGTGTGTGTGTGTGTGTGTGTGTGTGTGTACTTTTACTAAGACTGTTTCCCTCCCCCTCCCCCCCCCGCATGTGACAAGCCTGTAATAAATTTACCAAATTGTCAAAAACTGTGTCCCTGTACTGAAAGCCAGCCTATGTGGAAAAGATTTATCTCGCTACCTGAGGGAAAACCGATGAACTGGAACCATTGTTTTCTTAACTTGTATCTAAAATTGAAGAACCATATTTCCCATGAATTCCAAGCTTATCTTTAGCCCTTGTTAAATTTACTGTATATGCCGGCGTATAAGACGACCCGGCGTATAAGACGACCCCCCAACATTTCCACTCAAAATATAGTTTGTTATATACTCGCCCCCTCTTCCGCACGCCTTCCACTTTTGCACTTTTTTTTTTTTTGAGGCACTTTTGTCTACCGTGGAAACGAATCCCGTGAAGCCGAAAGGAGCAGCCAGCCTTCTCCCAGCTCCCAAGGAAACGAGGCTCGCACCGCCCGGGCTCCGCTGAGGTATCCGGCTGGGGCTGTCAGTTGTTGTTACCGCTGGCGCGGCTCCTCGCGGCTCCAGTCCCGCGTTGCCTCGGGAAGGGAAAGGCAAAAAGGAAGAGCCGCTGCTGCCATTGCAAAGCGCCGCCGCGGCTCTTCCTTTTTGCCTTTCCCTTCCCGAGGCAACGCGGGACTGGAGCCGCGCGGAGCCGTGCCAGCGGTAACAACAACTGACAGCCCCAGCCGGATACCTCAGCGGAGCCCGGGCGGTGCGAGCCTCGTTTCCTTGGGAGCTGGGAGAAGGCTGGCTGCTCCTTTCGGCTTCACGGGATTCGTTTCCACGGTGCGCAAAAGTGCCTCAGCCGCGGGCAGCCGCAGTGCTTCCCAATTACTATTTGCCGGCGTATAAGACGACCC